TCATGCATAATTAGGGACTAACATTTTTTCATAAACATAAACGCAAAATGACACAGCAATATAAATGACATATTAGCCAATATATTTCAAACTTACATTTTTAACTGTACTAAGCCACATTATAAATTTCGATTATGTTGGCATTTCGAGCAAAATGTATATATATAAAACTATATGTTACAGTCTTCCTAGTTTCATAGTTTCAGAACTAGTAATTGGTAACTAAATAATTAAAAATAATATCATACATGTACGTACATTGCTATTACTAAATAAATTGACTAAACATCGCAAAGAAGACATTGCTCAAAGGAATATCAAAACCATATTCCTAAGGTTCAAAATTTAATACTTTATATAAGTACTTTAAAGGCCTATTAAGTTTAATTGTGGAGAAAGCTTACTTAATAGAACACTTGATTATAAATATCTGTAATTAATTTTAAAAATATAAAAAACACTTGGTGTCACTCTTGAAATACTTAATGTATGTATTTTAATATTTTATAAATTATTATATAAAAAACAGGAATAATAATATAACTCAAAATTACACCCATTTAAAAATAAATTATACTTTGGATTTTAAAAAAAATATAAAAAGTGTCCAACGTTTTTCCATCTTTTTGGCATAAGATTGACACCACAAATCCATAGGATCGCAAACATGTTTTTAATAGAACATAATGGCGGAGAATATACAAGAAATCTCAGAGTAATACGAAATGAAATAAAAATTCACCAGTATTACTAGACATTCAAACACTCATTAAACATGGATAAGTTCTAAAAAGTTAGATTTCCATTCACATTTATTACATACTAAAAAGATGTGTGTAAAATTATTAATTAATTCGTAATGAAGTGTTGCAGTTGACAGAATCAATAAAAATAATATTTTATAGTGTAATTATACCAGTTATTAATATTTCTTTTATCAAGACAATAATGTTAAGATGTTTGAAAACCACCTTTATAAATTAATACAAAACTTATATCTGTTTTAGTATAAACACTAATATGCCCTGCATCAGCGTCGTTTGAGCCAAGCGTAAAATACCCAGATCGTAAAGTATCCAGAGCATCGTCAGAGGTGCGAAACTTTAGGCATTGCGATCGTGCATCGTGAAGGTTAAGGGGCACTTCTACAATAGTAGTGGCCGATGTAGTGCAGAACAGTGGACGTTTCTGAGCTAATAAATAAAAAAAAATGTGGTATTAGTACTAATCGACCTGTGAAATAATGTGGCTTCTGACATAAAAGACGTGGTTCTTACTAAATCTGGCTGTGATTTAGACTTTGGTTGTAGTTTTTTATTAGGGCGCCGAAGTGTCCGACTGAAGCTTCAGCTATGGCCACCTTCAGCCAAAAAAAAAACCACCTTCGTCTTCAGCCAAAAAAACATCTGTGGTTTCAACCAAAATGGACCAGTTTTGGCCGAAGTTGAAGGTTTCTAGCGAGCGCTGAAATTGAAAAAGATGTTACCAATGAGCGAGGGCTCGTCGAACGTGGCAGAGTGTACCACTTCGTTGTGGACTTGCACAAATGTAATATGGTAATAAATTTTAGCCACTATTGACCTGAATTTCTAAGGGGTTTTTAAGGTTCCGGTCGAAAATTAAGGCGATAGCAGATTAATATGAACGAAGCTACAAATCGGCCTTCAGTCGGACACTAGCGCCGATAAAAGTATTTCCAAGCTGATATCTAAACAAGATTAATCGTCGAAGTACGTGGTTCTAAAAATGTATTTATATAAACATATATTACTTGGAAAAATCCAACAGTACAAGATAATAAGACATAAAGATCTGTATAAAAAAATTAAAAACATATCAACAATATCTAGTATGGTTATAAATTTTGTCTTATTTATTCCTATTAGACAGATACGAATATATGGTTCTATTCATAAAACTTTACAAAAATGCTATGAAATGTAATAATGGCCATAAGTCCCAATATTCTGCGGGATACTTCAAGAGTTGTAATTGGGTAGCTGACACCATCAATGATAAATTATTACATTTTTATAGAATAGGGAAGCAAACGAGAATGCGGCTCGCATAATAGTAAGTGGAAATCGCCGGTCATGTACAACTACAACCAACACCAGGGGAAATATGCAGGCACGTTGTTAATATTTTCAAAAAAGAGTACTCTTTTGTCCTCGAAAGTTCTTCCTTCAAAAGTCGCACCGATTCGGAAAAATTCGGAAAACGGATTCCACAAAATGGACATGCAAGCAAGAACAATTCCGGCAAACCGCACAGCGGTAAACCGCCAAGCACCCAGATGGAGTAAATGGTATCTCGAGTTAAATGGCGATTTAGAATTTAAGTTTTACCGATTTCTTTCTATTGGAAAAGCAATAGAAAAATGCCATAATATATATATATATATATATATATATATATATATATATATAGACTAGAGATATACAGACTACCAGACTTCCATTTGGCACGTATATGGACGTGAAAGCGGCCAAAGAAGTGTGTACATGCTACTCTTTTTACTCTTCCTATATAACCTTATGTATTATAATTTTAATTTGCTACTCTTTGACTATAATCTTTAACGTCATCACACTGTATTCTTATACAATGTCTATAAAAATGTTTGTGTTGATAACTCAGAACTTCAATTCATTAGGGTGTCAAATACCCAATTTTTAAAACAGATGCCTACTTATTTCGCATTCTTTACAAAATTCTTTCGGCTTTGTCAGACGAAAATGTTATTGGTACTGCTTGCGATAAATCAAAGTTGTGTAAAAACCATGAAACTCACCTTAAGCCGGAATCAATAAAAAATGCTATTCAAATGAGACTTAAGGCCATTTGACTAAAGAGCGATATAGTCAGGGGGTTATGCAAAATTTTCTTAGGTATTTTCATGAATAAGACCGCTGTTGTCAATTAACACCTATACCTATACGCAAGAATCACGAATGTTCACTATTTGCACCGCGAAGTTATGTCAATAAAGATGATTTTCGTTTAAGTAACTTATGTGACGGATTATTATTTTTGTAACAATCAACATTCGTGACCGACAATAATATTTATTAATATAAGTTCAATGTGCGCTAGGACGTTTGTTATAAGCTCTAACATTAAATAAATATTTAACTAGTATACACTACACATACAGTAAAGTACATAAATGCTTAACGTCTGAAGTCGAGCTTGTGCGAAATAAATATACTTTTTTATTTCTATCTATATATTATGTCATTATTAAGTATTGCTGAATAAGTTATTCATAAAAATTACAAATGTACTTATAATAAATGAATTTGACTGAAATTATCTTCGACCGTTTTACAGTTTTTTTTAAATCAATTCCTTTTTATTTGTTATCTATAATTTCAAATCATTATTGCAACTTGACTTTAAATAATATTATTTTAGTATTATTTATTATTACATAATAATTTGTAAAAAATACTAAAGTAAACAAAGTCAATCAGAATATTTAATTTTACACTATGGAATAGTAATCTTTACTTATATATAAATAATTTTATATTAATAATAATTAAATTCTATATAGGAATTGCATTGCATTTTTTAAATTACAATTTAAACTAAATGAGATTGATTTAATTAACATTAACAAGATTTTGAGTGAGTAAAATATTGGGAGTAAAAATTTAGCCGGGTACAATGTACTAAGTAAGTACTTTTTGTTTCAGAAACACAAACTATCAATCATATTAACAATTTGTTTTCTGGCCTTTGAAAGAAAATTTCAGTGTTTCAGGAATTAGGAACAAAGGTGAGTGTCAAGTTTTATTAACATTTGATTTGTAAAGACGTCACGTCTCTGCGCGATATACAAGGTCTAGGATGATTAGTGTTTAGCGCCTTGTAATATGAGATCTCTTGTTTGAGATCACGGGACATCCTAAAACGATCAGTGAGTAGCCCAAAATAGCCAGTGGCAGTATCTCCCAATATATTGAGTACACATGTATTTTTCTTTATTTACTTAAACTATATTACCCTTTATGTACAAATGGTTTACTAAGGAGGTACTTAATGCCCTTAGGCTAGTCAGGCTCTCTTAGTCAACCCTGGGCACAGTAAGATCATGTTATAAGTGCATCATAAGTAAATAACAGGTTGAAAATAATATTAACTATATAGTTGATTTATGAATAGAATATAATAAAAAGTATAATAGAGTAAGACATAAAAATTAAAATATATAAACGATAACAGGTTTACTCTATATATATATATAACTTTTCCAATGATACTGAGTTCTCTAATGTTGATTCGGATTGGAAATTCAGCTCAGTCATTATAGCTGGTTCAAGTCACTTATCTAAGTTAATAATAACAATATAATATTATGTCCCTTCAATTTCACAATTTATAATTTATTGAATTTCACACTCAAATGTATTAATAATTGTATACTTAATTCGGGACTATTTCAAGTATTACCACATACATAAAAATTTCCACATTTTAAAATGTTCTAATTTCATTGGTATAGCTCTCACTTCTTTGAATTTTAATATACAACTGTATATACTACAACTTTATATATGTATATACAAAATGTAACAAAAACCCTGTTGTTCCCGTTAGGTGCATTTTCGGAATCAACATTCAAACGTACTGAAATAACTACTTCGGAGAACTCGACCATTAAAAATCGAATTAAATTTAAATACATTTTTATTTGTAAACTGGCTGTGGTTATATAAACTCTAACGTAAAGCGGTGTCTTTGACAATTCTCTTACTCCCCGGCCAATACAGAGGTATAAAACATTTACTATTATTATTTGCAAATAAAAATTAAATTAAATTAAATTTTTATGGCCGACTTTTTTGAGGTAAAGATATTTCCTTACTTTTGAATACAATGGCTCTACCACTGTTATAAAGTTTACCTATGAATACTGATTCTCATAATGCACTTACAGGAACTACAGGGTTTTTGTTACATGTTCTATATAATCACTAATACTAGATGTCGTATTAGTTTTTATGTACGGGCAGAGCATGGGCCTCAGAGTTGATTACAAATTTATTCAAATCTATGATGAGCCTGTCGTCGCTAAAAAGTAAATACAAATACTTGAGAGTTTCCGAGAGGAAGAAAGATTCCATCATGTCGCGGTGGACTGGCTTCTCTGACTTCACATTGGCCAAGGATGAGTAACCATTTGTCACTTTTGCATACTTTTCGAAACCCTGAAAAATTAAATAAAATGATGTTAGCAAAAACATAAATTTTACAGTACAGATAAACTTGTAAACCATGAACTCATCATGGTAAAACGGTCAACTAAATGGTCTACCTGTGTAAAAGATCATGTGTTGGGTTGTAAGAGAAATAAAAAGGGGTGATAAATAAGCACAAAGCTTACTTCATCCAAAGGCAAGAGGTCCACAAACATCTATATCTCTCTCGAGTACTAAGATGGAATGCTTTGTTACTCGTAAAAAGGTATACCAGTTCTCATTCCGAACAACATCAAAGTTTCATTGAAACCGTGGACTTTTCGGACTTTTCATGGCTGTTCGTTCTGCATTCAAAATAAAGCTGCAGTGTGGCTGTGACTGCGATTAGTGCAATAATCGCAGTCACGTGCAAGCTACTCAATTTAGTTTAAACCATCTACCATGAACATGTGACCTAGTTCACCAGCCTTTTCAGTGTATTAACACTGCTATTTGAATGCTTCTTTTATAGAATAAGGGTCACAAACGAACACAGAACCCACCTGATGGTAAGCGGATGCTGTGTAATGTCATAGATGTCTACATCTATATTCAATTAAGAATCGAAATGTTGAAGTGTTGTCACCCCTGAGGACTAAGAATGCCTTGTTTCCAGTTAAAAGGTTCTCCGGTTCTCTACACTCAGCATACGAAACACAGTAGCATTAAGCAGCTATTTTACGCTGGTATTATGTGAGAGTGTGGTCCTCAGTCGAGCAGACCCATTCGTTAATATAGCTGCAGCACGGCTCTACCACAGCTTACTGATTTGGAAGACATTGGGTGCGTTTGGCAGAAAAAAGCGCTAGCAAGCGCTTACAAGCGCTAAAATAGTTTTCGGCCAGGACACGATTGCTACTTCAGTAGCGCTGACACAATCCGCCATTTTGCTTATTTAATTTGTTTGTTTTGAAGTAGAGTTTATAAGTTGTTTTGTGCAATATTAGTTTTAAGTAATATAAGGACGTGAATAAACATATACATGCTATTAAAAACACATGATTGGTAAGTTTTTAATATGAATAATTTACAAACATATATTTAAATTAGGTTAGGTTCCCCCGGTTAAAACTAACATCGTGTCCTGGAGGAAAATAGCTACTTACGATTTGACAGCGCTTACCGCTTACGATCGCCATTTTGCTTACAAGCGCTTGCTAGCGCTTTTTTCTGCCAAACGCACCCATTGATCCCAAATTTTACAATAACTAGTGATTTGATCGCAGTATTCCCATGAGTCTAGGAGTTTGTTACCTTTTTAAATTTTTAAATTGAAGTGATAAACGAATTAAAAGTCCACCTGATGGTTTAGCCAGGATTAGCCACTCCACTTTTTATGAATGCCATCAATGATTAAATGAGGTATGTAAGCACAACAAAGTGTCACTGCAATGGATTAAGGGACACAGTGGATCTAGAACGATGCGGCAGATGAACTGGCCAGAAGGGGATCGGCTCTGGCCACTATAGGGCCGGAACCTATAATACCAATCCTCTTTGGCTATGTTCGTTAACTGGTACGTAGAAACTTCAATAAATTACACGCTCACGTTTGGAAAAATTTAGTAGACTGTAGACAAGCTAGTGAAGCCCTGCCTGAAATAAACAGTCATTAAACCAAGGTTCTGATGAGACTGAACAAGCCACAGATCAGGATAGTAACAAGTGCTATCACAGGACATGGCTCTTTTAACAAACATTTGTTTACCATAGGTGTTACTGACAGCCCCCTGTGCAGAGCATGCATGGGAGAGGAAGAAACGGTGGCACACGTGTTGCTGACGTGTCCAGAAGTCGCTTCATACAGGACTAAACATCTTGGCACGCCGGGATCGTTCCCCGAAGTTGCTTGCAACATCAAAGGACTGTTGAACTTCTTCAGGGAGATATCATGGCTCGAATAACCACATTATTCCTGCCCACACGCAAAATACGCACTTAGACGTGGAGTTGCGGAAAACTGCCCGTCGTAAACTAAACTAAAACTAAACTAGCTACTCCACAGACACCTGCTAACAAGTTAGTTTACTACGCGGACCACGAGATAAAACTACACTAACCTGATATATCTGCCATCCCCAGTCCTGATATGTGGTGTTGCCAGTAATTTGGTACATATACCAGAGACTCTCCACAAATTCGGGACGTAAGAGGCTGTGAGCGTCGGCCGTCTTCGTATACATGTCATCTGTTGTACTTGCCTGTTGAAAAAAAAAAAGTTTTTTAAGCTAAATTAAAAGTACGTAATACTAGTATGTAAACATATAAATTTGAAAAAATTCGCAAACTGAGCCCAAATAATTCGTATTTGTCTACACTAAAAAAGTTAGAGTAAGATTTCAAAGGAAATATGGCAACCGAATACGAAAACCAACACGAATCGGAGGCCATACGAGAATTTTCCACAACTACCAATCAAAAAGTTTCGGTGTGTGGACTGTTTATTGATAAAGATGATTATTATTTAGGGGCAAGTGCCAATGGACTTATTGGAGATGACTCTCTAATTGAAGTCAATGTCCTATTTCTGCTTCTAATATGCCACCTGTGGAGGCCATAACTGAAAAAAGATCATTTTTATTCGATACGAGAAGGACAAATGATTTTAAAAAGAAATCATGATTACAATTATCAGGTCCAGGGAAAATTATATATCACTGGTGGGCAATTTTGTTCTTTCGTAGTATGGACGCCACATGTTTTGGCGTACGAAAAAATTAAGTACGATAACTCATTTTATTTTCAATATTTAATACCAGAACTGATTGCTACTTTTTTATTTATTCACCTACCTAAAAGTGTAATCTCGAAATATTTTTAAATTACAGTTGTTATTCAATAAAGACTATAAAATAAAAAGACTAAATACCTAATCAATAAAGTTATTCACAAATATTAATTTTTTTCATGAGAAGTATTATTTGTGTAGGTTTTCGATATTAATTTCTTCTCACTAGGCTATAACAATATCTTTTTTTTAATGTTACCCCCCAAACTAGGATCTTCTCCTGTATCGTGGAGGCAGTTTACATACATAAATTGCACAAGGACAACTATTTGTAGGCCATACAAATACTCGTTCCGTGCGGGATTCAAACCCGCGGCTCTCAGCGCTATAACTCATTGCTAAGCTACTGCACCACGTAGCCGTCAAATCTACATATATATTTTATAAAATCTCCGACATCTAATAACAACAAAACACAACTACAGTTGTATGCCCTGCCTCCCGACCGGTATCGTGCGATAGAGAGAATTGCAAGTATTGGAAGCAATTGCCTACATTTCTTTTTTGATATATTGTTCCGGGTGATAACATTTTTACCCACCTAAACCTTCACGAAATGAGATAATTTTGGTCTCATTAGATTCAGTACAACTTAATCTAGGTCTGTACGTTATTCTTTTTAGTAAATCAGTTTAGTTTAATTAAGAAAAATAAAAACGCTCAAGGAAGTTTTTAAGTCAAAAATATAGATATTTAGTTGCTAATAAGTTTTAACGTACGTAATGTTTCTTTAAAATTAAAACGTAACAGACCTATGTTTTTGTTATATCTACAACATTTCCAAAAATTATGAAAATTAGACTATGTTTACGGGTGGGAAAACGCTATCGCTTTTTGTATGAAAATTACAGCTTCACAATCCCCTTAAGAGATGGCGCTGATTTATTTTATGCTTAAACCGTGAACAATTTTTTGTTCGCACGGCCATATCTTGTCATTTATATCAATGGTTACCATATATTTGAAATTGTAATACTTGTTAAGTTGCCGGCAAAACATTCATTATTGCATAACTACATTTTATGTCGACCACAATTAATTTTAGCATAACATAAACATCAGTATTAATGTTATGTTGCATGAACTCCTTGAGAAATTCAGGTCAACATATTAAAAATGATAAAAAGTACGTTTTGTCTGTATGTAATCGCTTTAGGTGCGTACAATTTTATTTAACTTGAAAAGTATATACAAAGAAAGTTTTAAATTTTAATTGCTTCCACACTATATATTTATTTCAATGCCTCAATCATCATACCACAATATAATCTAAACTTTGTAACTTACCAAGTTAAAGTGAGTAATTTCAGGTGCCAAAAATGTCGGGTGGGCTGCATAGGTTAAATAACACGTATAGAGTAACTCTTCGGCCATAGACATGTGCCAATCTGGAAGACCATTCGCATGGCCGAGAGCCAGAGTGCCCGGTAGAAAACAAGTCAAGTGGTCCATCTTCGGATTGAAAGCCTATAAAAAAAAATTTGTAAAAATGCGCTCTTTTTACCAAGAACACTCCAAAATGAAGATTATTTCTAGGAAAGTTAATACCGAGAGTATCGGGATCCCACGCCGGATTGGCGGGATCGACGAGAAGCGAAATTCATACGTAAAGTCAGAAGTGGTTTAGTTTCTAATCTTTTATTTAAAATAATAATAATTGTCTTTGAAAAACATTAATAAAAATGTTGATTCTTAATATTTTATTTGTTTACCGTTACAGCCATAGAATACTACTATACACAATAGAATGGCTGTCAACCTTATTTTGTACGAGATTCGGCGTCGCCGGGAGCACACATACAAGCAATTACGTCGTATTATCACTACTACAAACCCGATTCGCTGTGTTGACAGACGGATTTTAATACATATTTATTTGTAAATAGCGTGCAATTTGGCATTTTCTAAATAATTTGCATGAGAAATTTGGAAACGATGGTAACGTCAGAACACACTCATGTTGACATTTATACGTGTGAATTGACGTGTTAGTGATTTTAGTGGCTACACGGGCTCCGCCCACTCCCCCGTTCTAATGTGTATGTATTATAGTATTCTATGGTTACAGCCTATTAAAGTCTACTGCTGAACGTAGCCTTGCCCATTGATTGCCACGTAAAGGGGATATTTATCATAGTTGTCACGCTTGGCGAACGGGTCGGCAACCGCAGTTTATTTACTTAACATCAGTAATTAATAAGTTCCACTTCTACATAATGTTCAATTAATTGGCGTCGTTAATTAACCAGTCGGTTATGAAAAGAAATATTTTTTTTTCACAGCCATATTTTTCTTTTTTGGCAACATAAAGAACTTAAACGATTAGTAAAGAAACTGTATATTATATTGAAAATACATTACGAACCTCTGAGCCAGCAGATAATTCCCCTATAAACAAATACTTGTTTGGCGACGATCGCTTCGCTAAGAATTCACGAACACCCTCGATAGCCGTCATGTAGTCGTCCAATAAACTGTAAAGATTTAATTATTACCTTTTAACTTTTATTACATCAAGCAACCGACGGCCCAAGTACTTAAGTGGCTTGATTTAGTAATCAGACATGCAATTATAAGTGATTGTCGTCAAGGAAGTCAAATAAAGTCAAACTGCAAGTATAGAGCTATGAGTATATGGTCGAGCGCGGCTTTTGGCCGGAGCTCTGCGGTGGTGAAGCAGTTAACTCTTTTAAGAAAGCTCTGCAAAGAAGCTGAGTTACACTCACAGGGAATTTATTTTTTCAATTTCATCACCATCATCTTCATCTTTTTTTAAATAAAGAAGAATGGCAACCGAGCACATAGTCCACCTGATGATAAGCCAGCACTGGGTACAGTGGCCCATAGACACGCATCAAACCTTGATGAAGAATCAAAATGGAGATGCGTTGTAACCCGCTGAGTATTAAGATGGAATTCATTGATTCCACCAGTAAAAAAAGTTTACAGTTCTCTACACTCACCATACCAAACATTAAGCAGCTATTTCATGCTGGTATTCTGCGAGAGACTGGTTCTTTCTTGTTCGAGCCAATCCATTAGTTAAAGTTAAAGTTACAGCCTATATACGCCCCACTGCTGGACACAGGCCTCCTCTCATTTTTGAGAGGGTTTTAGGCAAGGAATAGTCCGCCGCGCTGCCCCAATGCGTATTGGCGAACTAATCCATTAGTGCTACAACGATAATATAGCTGCAGCATAGTTCTACCATGCAAAGCATCATTGTTACAGCCTCTCAAGTCTACTGCCGAATATAAGCCCCCCCCCCCATAGATTGCCTCATAGAGAAGATTTTTACCTTAGCGAGCTGGTCGGCAACTGGAGTATTTTTTATTACTTCCGGTTGTTAACAATATTCATTTCCTATGTTAGTTTCCCCCTGTCGCCTCATACGACACCCACGAGCATCTGTCGACTGTAGTTAACTAGGCTTGTCTAGCTCAGTCTCCTTGCGCCTACAAGGTGTGGTGAGACTAAGCACCATCCAATATCCAGTGCACACATCTCACGCTCGCATTGTATGCACATAGAACTCGGTCTTATATGTCCCGAATATATATAAAATCCCCCTAAGGTCAGTTTTGACACGAATTTGATGTTTGGGAATTAATACTTCTTGAAATAGTATATGTTCGGAAAAAATTTGCGCGTACGCTAAATTCCTAATCGAATGATTTTTAAACTACGGAATGAAAAATAAATTAAAGTTCTCGTGTTTCAAACAATAACCATATTCTATTTTTGTAAAATATGAGAGTTATTTTATTGCAATAGATTCTTAATCGGATACTTTTATATTTAGAGTTTTTTATTTTCTAATAATAAACAATTAACGTTTCATTTTATAATAAACGTATGTCTACCGAATCTCGCACGCTTACTTCGTGGTAGACAACTCCTCGCCTTAACCAACTTTCCATTGTCTTAACATTAAAGCCTATAATAGTCAATATGGTTTTCGTTGACGTTTATTGCGTGAATTCTATTAAATTAGCGCGAAATATATAGATTAGCGATAAGCCGAGAAATAATCCACTAATTCTTTTCAGTCTTTCATTCTTCTAGTTCTAACTGCACACACAAACACATATTACGTGTGTATTATGTAGGATTTTGCCATAGTTGTCACGCTTGGTGCAGTTTTCTACTATTTTGAGTTGTTACCATGAAAATACTTTTGCCTACCTACTGATTCAGTATTCCTCTATTGCCTCATGCAACAACCACGGGACGATATGGAGTAGTGGAAGTTTTAATGCCGCCATTACATTTAACGTTTACGACTAAGAAATTGCTTGTAAAACTGTGATATTTTGTTTAATATTTTATCTATTCTCTATCTATACATTGCCCCATGATACCGCAAGATTCCATATGACGTTAGTTATGAAAATAACTAAAATAAACTAATCTAGCTGTTTCAACACATATAAAACCTCTAGTCTTAATAATAAAATTTTACAGCATATGCTGCAGAACTAAGTTTGCTAACCAGTATAGATATATAAGGGCCACATTGAAGCTTCGCGATAACTGCAATACCGAAAAAACTCTAGATGCAATAAGATTCAGCTCTTCTCTATTTATTAGCTCTCTGGTATTCACGTGTTTAACATTTAGTGTTGTAAATTTAATACATTTAGTTTTGTTACCGTTTAAAAGCAAATTATTGAAATAGTATATGTTCCGAAAAAATTTGCGAGTACGCTAAATTTCTAATCGAATGATTTTTAAACTACGTTATAAAAAATAAATTAAAATTCTCATGTTTCAAACAATAATCACGGTGTACTACTTTGCATATTGCATTATTCACTTCATCGCATTTTATTAATTGTCTTTTAAGTGTGTATACTATTTCCAAACTATGACAGATTATAATTTTCCTTAAGTTTGACATTGTTTTCAATTCGCATTACGAAGCGCGTTGGCAGTGATTTTGCCGTTTTTTTTTTTGTGTACTGACATATATTACTCATCATCATCATCATTCGTTTACAAGTCCACTTCTGAACATAGGCCTCCTCCAAATAATGCCACAAAGCACGGTCCTGAGCCATCTGCAATCATCGACTTCCAACACGTCTTACCAGATCGTCACTCCATCTACTCACTACACATCGCTGCCAGTACAAGGCTGCCACTCGAGAACCTTTTGTCTCCATCGGTTATCGGGTTTTCGAGCTATATGGCCGGTCTTCCAATACAGTGGTGAAGAGTTTCGGGGATATAACGTCACCCTGTCTTACACCCTCTGCTATTGGATAGGTTTTGTACTCTGGTCCTGTACTAAGATAGCCATCATAGTCCTACTGTACAAGCACTTCTTCAATATATCAACAGTCAACTTGGCACCGATGAAGAGACTGCAGCACCGCACAAAATTTTAACGGAATCAAAGGCTTTCTTGTAGTCCACATACACAAGACAAAATGGCAGATTGTACTTTTAAGTCTTCTGTACATTTGCCGAAGAGTATAGGCAAGCCTTTTCGGAAATGGGCTTGTTCGGGAGGCTGGAAGTCGTTGAGTTTGTGTGCGAGACGATTCGTAACGACTCTCGATAACAGCACGTAGAGTACACATTATTAACAACCATGTATTCATTTATATTATAATAACCCTTTTTATACAGTTTTTGTTTAATTAAATATTTAAACTTGTTAATATAGAGTATAATATTTTCTGGGACATGGTTATATTCGTAATAGCGTATACATTGCCCTAAGAATGAAATACTGACTCTGTGGAGTAGAGAAACTGGTATCACTAGCTTGTGTTTGTTCCTACTATTTACAGAGAGTATATCACTTTTTTTTTTACTAAAACTACCTTTGTTTTTGTGAACATATGTAACTTTGGTAATTATATTGAGGGGCCAAAGCTAATATAGGTTTTAAATTCTTTAAATTTTTCTTTAAGAGACTCTCTCGGTTTAAGGTTGTAAATAGCTCTTATGACCCTCTTCTGCAAAACAAAAATACTTTATAAATCAGTCTCATTTCCCCATAGCAATATTTCATAAGACATTATGCTATGGAAATAACCGAAATAAACTAATCTAGCTGTCTCGACACTAGTGTGATCTATAATAAATTATTTATATTATCATATTTTTTACAGCATCAGCTACAGAGCTTAGTCGTAGTTGCTAGTTAAGATATGTGGGCCCCATCACATGGACAGTTCCCACTAGCTTGTCTTTCATATCGTTCACTACATTGCTGTCTTCTAGGCACTGAAAACGATTTTGTAACTCGAGCTGAAAGTATTCGGGGCTTTGGATTAGAGCACGAGGAACTTTTTTTAAATATAGGATAGGGTGACAAACGAGCACACAGTCCACCCAATGGTAAGTGGTTGCTGCGGCCCATAGACATCTACATCTATCCTTGATTACGAATCAAAATGCAGATGGGTTGTCACCTGTGATGACTAAGATGGAATGCCTCGTCTCCAGTAAAAAGGGTCTCCGATTCTCTACACTCACCATACGAAACACAGCAGCATTAAGATACTATTTGACGCTGGTATTCTGTGAGAGCGTGGTCTTTCCCTGGACGAGCCAACCCATTCGTGCTACAACTATGCATGAGCATGGCTCTACCACGTATTGGAACTGAAATATATTACTCAAAAAATAAAAATGCGGACGTAATGATACAAAACAAGATTGCAAGACCTAGGGTGCATGAAACACTTTCAGTATAACATATAAATCATCATTTTTTCTATGAAAATTAATTTAAATCAAGGGTTCCACTTACTAATTGATAGTCTTCCCAGTCTGCAGCCATTGCTTGAGCAGATATTCGTAATAACTGTCTCCCCTCGCTCCTAGCGTTATAGTGGCGTGCGGTAGAAATTGGCCAGTGTTCGGATTGATGAATATAGGCACAAGCCCGTGCTTCTTAGGCAACTGGTGTAGCTTCTCCGATACAGCGGCCGCTGCATCCTGGTAAAACATAAACCGCTTAGGAAGATGTTTTTACATCTATAATTTCAATACATACATACATATTCCACGCATTTGAACCAAACGGTTTGCTTCGTCTCTTGAAATGCGTTCAGCAAAGAGACCGGCAATAATTTTCCGATCACTCTCAGACTGAATACAATCTAGGCGGCTTCAATGCAAGTGTGACAGTGGCTTATAATAAGTAAAAATACGTCCCGTGGGTGTCGTAATAGGCGATTATGACATTTGCTAAAATATCTCATGGGCCTTTTTTCGGGAAAACGTGATATACTAATAGCCAAGGCAGTTAGTAAAGTTAAATCTTCTATACAACGGCAGAAACCCAACAATTGCCCAGAAATAGGCTTTTATAGGCTTTGCAAACGTCATCATAATGTTTCCAACTGTTTATGCAGCTTTTCACAAGCTGGATTTGGTGTTTAGATCCAGCTCTTCTGATAGTTACTCCACTATCAATTAAAGAGAAGGGAACTGATAATAGGGAAAAGATTTAGCGGAATCGGATAGAATAAAATACAAACGAAATCTTTTAACGGTTCAGGATATCTCAAAATCTTTCAATTGTACATACTATGTAACAAAAAGAATCACTGCTGATCATGACCTATGCTATTGAACTCAAGCTGTTATAATGTATTATAAAACAACAACTTATAAAACATCCCCGTGTATTATAAACTGAACAATCATGCACACACACACACACACGCACGCACGCACGCACGCACGCACGCACGCACGCACGCACGCACGCACGCACGCACGCACGCACGCACGCACGCACGCACGCACACACACACACAAACACACACGCACGCACGAATGCAAGAATTATTAATTAATAATTATGAAATGTCACAACCAGATAGATGAGTAAATGAAAGAGGTGATTGGGGAACTCAAAATTCTCATAACACCCGTGTAACATCTCAGGGAAGAAGGAGTGCCTGAAAACCAGCGCTTCATGGGATCTAGTTCCATGTAAGCAAAAGCTGAGTCACCTCCGTTTGCCTAAATTAAATTAAGATTAAATAATTAGTTCATAAGTATACATGTTTTTTTAAAAGTGGCAATAAAATGATATTTATTTATTTATTTATGTAATGTTGGAGACACGGAGATAATCAAAGCAAAATAGAGACATGCCCGAATACTCGATCGCTGTTGAATTTAAAGAAGACTTAAGCTTGCCTAAGACTTGCCGTGTAGTGGCGGTTAAGAATATCCACTACCCCATATCTTCCCGTGGGTGTCGTAAGAGGCGACAGAGGGAGATGGGCAGCAGCATCTTCGGTTTAAAGAAATTTATTTCTCATAAGAACATACAATGGTTCACTTAAAATGAGATACAAAGTAATTATATACTAAAGTAAAACTATCGCATCTACCTCTAGTGCTGGAGGTGTTATAGTTTTGAGCTTATTTACTATGAGATATAAGATTAAGATTATTTACTATGTCAGAAAAGATTACACTGTACGTACGTATTTCCTAAGTTTACTTTTAAACAATTTTATGTTATTGCAATTTTTTATGTCATCTGGTAGTTTTTTGAACAGCTGTGCTCCCTCAAACAACAAAGTTTTTTTGCCATAATTAGTTCGTGTAGTTATTAATTGTAGTTTATTTTTACTTCTTAAGTTGTGTGCTGTTGTTTTTTTATGTAATTGTATGTTTGATTGAATAGAATTAGTGGTAATGTTTTTTATTAGAATGCAAGTGCAATAAATGTATAGTTGTGTAAGGTTTAGCAAGTTAGTTTTTTCGTATAGTACTTTTGTTGGCGTTAGATAATGATAGTGGAATAATGTTTTGATAATTTTATTTTGTGTCCTTTGAAGTGGATTTAGATTTGTTTTAGCAGCTGATCCCCATATCTCAATTAGATATTCGATATGTAATTTAACTAAAGAGTTATATATGATTGTACGAACCTTTTCCGGGATACAGTTTGCGACTTTACGTAGTGCACATAGTAATGACGTCAGTTTTGATTTGACGTGATCGATATGCATTCTCCAAGTGAGTTTATCATCTACCAATAGACCTAGATATTTTTCCTGAGTTGAACGTTTTATTATTTTATCTTCAATAGTAAGATGTGCAAACTCTGGTAAAGGTTTATTCTTTGTAGAAAAAATCATGAAAGATGTTTTTGACATATTAATTGTTAGCAAGTTATATTTTAACCATTCTCCGAGTAAGTCAAGATCTTTTTGAGCATAGGTTATAATGTTGTGAATAGATTTATCGAAATAGAAGAGACATGTGTCGTCGGTATAATATTATGTTAGGTGCCCTGTTAGCCCTAATTTGTTTATATTATTTATATAGATTAAAAACAATAATGGACTTATAATTGAGCCTTAAGGACAGCCGTAGGATACGTTTTTAATCGAGCTGGTAAAATTATCCATTTGAACAACTTGTCGCCTATTATGTAAAAACGATGTAAACATTTCGAGGGCCTTACCTGTAACGCCTATGTTGTTTAGTTTCTGCAACAATTTATGATGGCTTACTGTGTCAAATGCTTTTTTTATGTCAATAAAAATCCCTAAAGCGATATTCTTTTGATCGATTTGAGTTTTAATTTTTGTGATTAAGTCTACTGCAGCTGTCAGAGTGCTCGATTTGGAACGAAAGCTATATTGTTGGTCAATTAAAAACTTCTTTTTTATTAGGTATTCATTTAGGCGGTTATAAAGTATTCGTTCAAATATCTTTGATATAACAGGCAAGACAGAGATTGGTCTGTAGTTACTTGGGTCAATCCTACTTCCGGATTTAAAAGCTTCCTGATAACAACTGTGTTATAATAAAAAACTGCGGTTGCCAACCCGCTCGCCAAGCGTGGCAACTATGGCAAATATCCCCCCATGAATAACGACGCAAACAGACGGCCCCCAGTCCCCGGCGGCCCCGCTATTCCTGACTACGGTGGCGACCATGGTAACGGCGGGGCAGGGGTTGCTAAGAATCTCCGGTGGAGGTTCGGTTGCCACCTACGACGACTCGACCTGGCAACATATAACGCACGCACCCTGAGGACTGACGAGAAGATACTGGAGCTGGAAGAAGAGGTAGACAAGTTGCGCTGGCATATTATTGGATTATCCGAGGTCCGAAGAGAGGGGGAGGATACGGCAATCCTCGAGTCCGGCAACTTGTTCTATCACCGAGAGGGCGACCATCTGTCCCAAGGAGGTGTCGGATTTATCGTCCACAAGTCTCTCGTCAACAACGTTGTAAAGATTGGAGTGCACCTCTCATCACCAACGTATTCGCTGAAGGTCATACAGCTTTACGCACCAACCTCGGCACATCCCTATGGGGAAGTGGAGGAAATGTATGAGGATATTTCTAGAGCCATACATTCCTCCAATACCCACTACACGGTGTTGGCTAAAAAAACTAAACTAGGCACAAGAGAAAGCGGTGAGCTGAAGGTAGGGAAATTTGGAGTAGGGCAACGGAACCGAAGGGGCCAGCAGCTGGCCGACTTTATGGAGAAAGAGGGACTCTTTATGATGAACTCTTTCTTCCAGAAGCGGCCCCACAGGAAGTGGACCTGGTCGAGCCCCGACGGTTCGACAAAAAATGAGATTGACTTCATTATGACGACCAGACGCCAACTGTTCAGTGATGTCTCAGTGATCGCAAGGGTGAAAACCGGCAGCGATCACCGAATGGTTAGAGGCACACTGAACCTAAACGTTAAGTTGGAGAGGTCTCGTCTAATGAAGTCAACGCTCCGTCCCCCTCGTGCTCTAATCCAGAATCCCGAAACCTTTCAGCTCGAGTTACGTTACCGCTTTCAGTGCCTAGAAGATTGCAATGCAGTGGACGATATGAATGACAAACTCGTGGAAACTGTCCATGCGGTCGGAGCTAAGTTCTGCAAGACCCGCCACAGAAGAACACAAAAACTCTCCGATCACACTCTTAATCTCATGGCTGTTAGACGGGAGATGAGGCTGCAATCGTCAACAGATTTGACAGCATACAGGCAGCTGAACAGACAGATCTCCAAATGCATGCGGCGAGACTTACGCAACTTTAATACTTCTCGTATTAAAGAAGCGATCGAGCGGAACCAGGGCTCCAAAGTCTTTGCCAGAGATCTGTCTGCCAGAAAGAGCCAACTGTCAAAGCTGAAGACTGAGTGTGGCATCATCGTTTCCGGGACACCTGAGATTCTGAGTGAGATTGAGATTCTATGGGCCCATAGAGGGCAGCTGTACACATCATCGTTGGAGCCACACTCAAGTGTGAGTAACGATCCAAGAGCAAGTCTTATCCGACACTATTCCGATGATATCCCGGACGTCAGTCTGAGCGAGATTAGAATTTCTCTCCAACACCTTAACCTTAAAAACGGCAAGGCCCCGGGCGAGGATGGAATTACAGCGGAGCTTCTGAAAGCGGGTGGAACACCGGTACTTGAAGTCCTTCAGAAGCTCTTCAATTCCGTCCTCCATGGCGGCACTACTCCGGAGGCGTGGAGCAGAAGCGCGGTGGTTTTGTTCTTTAAGAAAGGCGACAACGCTCTCTTAAAAAACTACAGACCGATTTCCCTTCTGAGCCGCGTCTACATGCTATTTTCGAGAGTCATTACGAATCGTCTCGCACGCAGACTCGACGACTTCCAGCCTCCCGAACAAGCCAGTTTCCGAAAAGGCTTCAGTACCATAGACCACATACATACCCTGCGGCAGATTGTACAGAAGACCGAAGAGTACAATCTGCCACTTTGCCTGGCATATGTGGACTATGAGAAAGCCTTTGATTCCGTCGAAATTTGGGCGGTGCTACAATCCCTTCAGCTGTGCCAAGTTGACTGTCGGTATATCGAAGTGCTGAAGTGTTTGTACAGCAGGGCTACGATGGCTATCCGAGTACAGAACCAGAGTTCGAAACCTATCCAACTGCAGAGAGGTGTAAGACAGGGTGATGTTATATCCCCGAAACTCTTC